TCCTGACTCAAAGAGAAGGTAATCATAATGTACTCTTCATTATTATTTACTGATTACATTTCACTCAGACTGAGCACATTTTATTACTTTGGAATGTCCAGACAAGCAGGCTGTTTATAATGAACGGCGATCAGGTCTCACGTAGAATACAAGACATTTAATAACAGAGTAAGGCTTGATGGCTCATTTTTTAACAACACAAAGCCCCTCAATAACCAATGAGATTGCATCAGATTGTCGCTCTTCTAGTCTAAAGTAGAAAATGAATACAGTAGTCCCTTATGTGAATTTGCTCTCCCAGTGTCACACAAGCCTGGACATGCTCCATACCCAAATGGAAAATGTTGACTAAGGGGCCACATGAATACAAAGATAAGAACATAGACATCGGCACTCCAAATGTAAGTCAATTACGTCTATTTATTTGATGAAGGGGTTCCTGCGACACCCCGAAATGTTGCATTGAGTGCGAAACTGCTGCATGTACATCAATAAATAGACGTATTTGACTTACATTTGGAGTGCCGATGTCTATTTTCTTATCTATGCATAATGACAGCTGCCATCCATTGACTACTGTTGCAATCATCTAGATTTTTATGGAAAATCGGTCAGGAGTGGGATGGGCACATGAACTGCAATCTGACATTAATACAAAGGACACCACAGGCGGAAAGGTGAACAGGATATATGATGTATCACCTTTCAATTGAGGTGAAGCAGATACAACTATATTCAAAGACGATGCTTCACACTTGTATAGGATCCACCCCACCTGTCATAACCCAGACCATAATGTGCAACTGAAGGCATCATGCTATTGCGCATGGTTAACATTGGACTGTGCAGTCCACCAATCAAGTGACTGCAGAGAAAGAGAAGATGACTGCATATCTGAGCTGTAAAGTCTTGGCGAGTCCACAAAGTAGCCCCACTCATCTCTCTCGCTACGGTTTTGCTGTCAATAGTTATTTTGCCCTGTCAAGTGATCAGGGCTTGGCAGAGGAGTAGGCATAAGAGGCAGCCGCCTTGGGCACTTTAGTAAGATGGGGGTGCAAAAAGGTCCCGCAACCTATGCTGCTTAGGTAGTTCACAACTCAAGGAAGGGGTAGGGGCACACATTGGCCCTTTGACCTTGAGTCTTCAAGGACCTTACCCCAGCGATTCTTTCACTGGTGAGTTGTCATGATATGATATGGGCCTCAATGTGTGTAGGTACTGTCGTTTGTTAGTCTCATGTCCCAGAAAAACCTTACCCTGGTGATTGCCTTGAAAATAGCATTAATACCTCTGGCAACTGGTTGGTATTGTAGATGGTGAACTGCTGCTTGCCACTTAGTTATTTGACATAAAAGATCCATCCTTTTACATGCTAGGCTTTACATCTTCACAGTTGTCAATGGCAGTGGTTGTCAACTTATGAGGTATAGTGGGCCTCCACTGTAGCCCCTGACTGCTCCAAAGAGCCACACATAATATTCAGTATATGAGAGAAGACTGTTAAAGTGGCCATACACTGTACAACCATCGCAAGACCTTAGTCTTGCGACGGTTGTAAAGTGATTTAAAAAATGTACGATCTGCCCATCTTGGACAGGCAGATTGCACTCTTGATCATCGCAAGCCCGCCCCCCTGAGGGGCGGGCTTCTGATGACCGCAATGCTGAACAGGCAGGGTGCGCGTGCATTTGTCTCCCGAGCACTGTTCAAACCAGCCGAAAATCGTACGATTCTCGGCTGGTTTTCTAACATGCTCCTTAGACAAAAGACGTGCGAGCGTACATTAGAAACGGTCGCACGTCTTCGTTCACACTGTTCGATTCTCGTACGATCGCGGGATTTCCCGCGATTCTCGTACGAGAATCGAGCAGTGTATGGGCACCTTTAGAGACTTCAAACATATCAGAGAAGACGATCAGAGACTGTGAGCCAGGCTCTGATCAGCAGATCAACAGGGGTGGTTGGAGACAGAAGACACAGTTTAGGAGACCTTCAGAGAGTGTGGACTTGATACTTGTGTGACTACTAGAGATCACTGACTATACAGCTTCTTTCCAGATGAATGCTCCCACCACTGACTGCTGGGGTCTGTAAGGGGCCACAGAGCAAGTGCCAAAGGGTCACAGGTTGGGCACCAGGGGTCTACGGTTAATAGCCTATTGAACTTGTTTAGTACAGCAGTGCATCTAGTAGCAACCAAATTAACAAAAGACATTTCAGCCCAGATCAATGATACAACCGAAGGCCAATTGTTATTGGTTGATGTGAATTACCGTACCTTGTTTTATTACATTTGTATGACTCAATGATGTAGACCTGCAGGCAGAAAAAATAGAAATCTTTGCCATCTATCAAGCATAGGCTTATGACAACAGTGCCCGGGGCTGCCTTCCCGCGTGACGAAGCCATCTTTAGGGTTTCGCCTGTCTGCATACCTTCCACAAGAGCACTTCCAAGTCATGGGAACTGAGGGAGCAAGAGAATCAGGCGTCTTCAATACAGCACTACAAAAGGGCAATGGTAACATGCAAAGGTAACCTATAGCACACAATCACATTTCTTATAATGGAATAAAAAGAACTTTGATGAGTTGCTAAGGTATAAAGCTAATTGCAAATTGCTAAGAGCACACAAAAGTGGGAGCATGCCCTTTCAGAAAACTATTTCAGGAAATTCTAAAGTCCAGCATAATGTTTATAGCAGCGTAGGCTGCTGGAATGTATGGAAGCTGATGAACATGGTTATGTGTTGTAATATAGGATATGTGGATGTCTTCAGCATGGACTGATGGGCGTCAGCTGTTATGGATTTTAATTCTTAGGTCTGATGGTCCTGGGGAGCTTTCTGGTTGTTGTTGGGATTTGTCAAATGACCTGGTTTCTGCCCTACACAAAAGGTAAAAACATTTGAGTGAACCTTGAGAATTGTTTTACAGCCAGGCTAGATAATGGCTGCTTGGCTGCATTCTCACAGTGAGCCCGGCTCTGATCAGCAGATCAAAGGGATCACCTTTGCTTCACATGCTTCTGGTTTGACAGCTGAGAGGTGTGGACATGTCTGAGCTTGTCACTGGAACTACATAGAGGCGCTCTGCGGGAGATCTGTGCTCCTGTCATCAGGGACCATTCATGTCAGGGACAAGCCCCCTCCTGCCGCCTCATACCTGCATACTGCTACTGAAGGGAAGAGCCCTCTCAGCGTCATACAGTATATCCAGACAGCTTGGCCTGGGTGGGGGAAGTTAGCCCACATTGGAATTGTAGAGTGAATTGAAAGTGATACCTATATTATTAATAGAGTGTCAGCCAATACAAGACCAGGCTTTATTTGTGACATGATACGACATGCAGAGAGAACCTTTTTTTTAACTATAATTGTGTAATGACATATGGCCCATGTTGACGTTAATATTTAGTAAAATAGTGCCCATTCCGGGAAAAGCAGCAGGCTCTCTACTCATTCTATACCATTCTATACCATGCATATAGGGGCAGACTACAAATTCCTCTCTGAGACTCAGTGCTATACAAAGCAATGAGAGGCTGACCGCACACACAGCCGTTTGCATGTCATCGGACTTTCAGTATTACCTGCAGTTCATCGCCCCTAGACACAAAGCATGCTCATCTGAGGCTGATCATCTGCCAAGCAACGCATGTCCAATTATGCGAATAGCTGCAAACGTCTGCGAGTGATGTCAGCCTGTAATTTCTTTGTATAGCTATGGGAAGTCCATAACCTTGTGTAAGCTACACCTCCGAAGAGTGGCGTCACAAGGTGGGTGCGTCCCGCACCTGGGTGACACCATTGGAGGGGTACAGTGGTGTACCCATTGCACTCAGAACCGCTGCTCCATGAGATCAGAAGTGGGTGCAGCAGGTGTCGACAGGTGGCTTCCGTCAAAGTATAAGTAAAGGATGGACACCGGCACTCCAAAGCAAATCCAGTACGTCTATTCATTCACGTACTTGTTGCATTTTCAAAACACAAGATACAAAGTATCTTGTATTTTGAATTTGCAACAAGTACGTGAATATACTAGATTTGCTTTGGAGTGCCGGTGTCCATCCTTTACTTACCATTGGAGGGGTGACACCAAAATGACTGAGAGTCATAGACCGAGAGCCCAACAGTTTTGGGAGAAAGGAGGGGACCCGGCGGCATAACTCATCCCCTCCTCTCCCTGCCGGCGTCCATCACCAAGATGGCCGCCGGCAGGTATCAATAAAATCGCCGCGTGTGCGCAGTGACGTGCATGCGCGATGACGTCACAACGGGGTGTCACCCGGTAACCGCTCCGGGTGACACCCAGCCTCGGGACGCCCCTGCCTCCAATGACACAGGACTTTCCTTTCCCTCTAATCCTTTTGTATGGCATTGTATTGTACTTGTACCGTCTCCCCATGTTGTAAAGCGAGCTGTCTCGCTGGCCTCTGACAACTCCGACCCGGTCTTCTTTCGGGTTCAGGATCTTGATTGCCTGTGCCGGGCTGGCATAACTGCCATGCATGCACAGGAGTTAATTCATCTCGGCTGTTGCTGAAATTGTGCACTAAATGGTGTATACAGCTCAGTCTACATTTCTAGCAAGCAGGTAAGAATATTTTATTGCAGAAGGGGTATATTAGGAGGATAATGTATGATTCTTCCACCCAGTGTATATCTGGGTGAATGGCTTTCATATGTCACTACTGCCACTAGATGGAACCGAGGAGCAGGAAAATCCTAAGCTCCTTAGTGCCAACTAGTGGTACAGGTGACTGTCAGTAGTGAGTGTACAAAGAATGTGCTCAGTGTTTCATTCATGATTCCGCTCTCAGGCTTCACCATTCCGATGACAGCAACTCTGCAGGGATATGCCCAGGCAATGACCACAAGGGAAGGGGGCGGAGCAGCACACGAGCAGGCTGGGTGACGTCAGGGGAGGGGGCGGTCCGGGGCAGCTTATATGAAGGAGAGTCGGCTCGGGTGCTCTCGGCAGTCTGCACTGATCACTGGTAGTCGGAGGAGTTCGGAGGATAGTGATGGAAATACTGAGGACGATCACCTACCAGTCGAGTAACGGGAATAAAATGTGCGAGCAGGCACTGGGCAGAGTGTGCGATCCCGGCAGGAGGTGGAAAGTCCCGGGCGATGGAGATCAGCACATTCACCATACATGCTCCAACCCAGCCGGAGAGGTGTCCCGGATCATCACCGACCCCGGCACCGGGAAGAGATACTGCAGGGGCAAAGTGCTTGGCAAGGTAATTCGGCTCCCCCTGGATGGAAGAGATCTCTGTGGATTTATCCCTTTGTGTGATCGCTGCAAGTCTCCCCCATTTCCTTACTGGATTCTTACTGAGCTACAAATCTCTCTACTGAATCATCATCCCTCCTGTCACTGCTACATCTGTCTGTCCTGGTTATATGAAGTGTTATGGCAAAGCAACAAGTCTGCTGGACAATCCAGTACAAAGACTGGGCTAGTAGTGTGTGTGGATTGCAATGTATCTGTGTTGCTTTGTGTGTGTTGGAATATCCCTGGGTATTGTGTGTTACAACATCTGTGTTGCATTGTTTGTTACAATGTATCTGTGTGTTGCATTTTGTGTTACAATGTGTGTGTGTGAGTTGCATTGTGTGTGTGTTACGATGTATCTGAGTATTGTAGTGTGTATATTGCATTGTGTATTGCAGTGTGTATGTATTCCATTGTGTGTTTATTGCTTTGCATTGTGTATTGCATTGTCTGTGTATGTATATTGCAGTGTGTGTGCATTGTGTGTTGCAGTTTTCTCTACATCTGTGTTTCACACTGGAGTTCCTTGCAGCGCTGTCAATGTGAGAGGATGCTACCAATGCCCTTGATGAAATAAATCTGCTTGATATGTCTGGTTTAATCCGGGCAGATTATTTTAACCCTTGCATGGCTGTGTGATGTAAAGGAATGTAGTTTATAGCTGTGTTGGTGGGTGGCTAATGTTCACAATGCTATTCTCTTGCAGGGAGGATTTGCAAAGTGCTACGAGATGACAGACTTGACAACTAACAAAATCTACGCTGCAAAAATTATCCCGCACAGCAGGGTGTCCAAACCTCATCAGAGAGAGAAGGTGGGTGTCTTCTTACCTTGTGTGTGATGATTACATTGCGTCTGGTTCCTGATTACCGCCTTGTTGAGCTGCATTTGGATTAAGGTGCTAAAAGCTGCATCTCTTTTTTGCAGATTGATAAAGAAATTGAGTTGCACCGGACCCTCAACCACAGGCACGTTGTGCAGTTTTATCATTATTTTGAGGATAATGAGAACATCTACATATTGCTGGAATACTGCAGTCGAAGGGTGAGCATTCATTCCCGAAACACTTCACTTTCCTTTTGTCTGTCTCCTCCTAACCCTGCAATGTGTGTTCTGTGCCCGGATCTCCCCCTGACACATACTGACAGCTCCTATTGTCTCCACAGTCTATGGCACACATTTTGAAGAGCAGGAAAGTACTGACAGACCCAGAAGTGAGATACTACCTCAAACAGATCGTGTCTGGCTTGAAATATCTACACGAGCAAGAAATCCTGCACAGAGACCTAAAATTAGGTAGGTTTCTTTTTCTTTGTGTAGTTCTGCCTCCACTGCACTGGCTGGTGTTCCTGTTAATGCACGGGCGAGGCGAGCTTTGGACAATGTGCCCGTTTGGTGATCTTATGTATTTACTTTTCCATTGCAGGAAATTTTTTCATCAACGAAAGCATGGAGCTGAAAGTTGGCGACTTTGGCCTGGCAGCTAAATTGGAGCCAATGGAACTAAGAAGAAGGTAGGTTATCGGAGCACCTTACTATTGTAATGAATAACAGCAACGCAGTGTGGTTGGGTGCACGCATCCATCTATTCTGGTGTTCAGAGCGGTGAAGGGAAGGGGAGGTCTTGCAGTCAATGGCGACTAATCAGAAATTGGCTTTACTTAGTCTTGATTGTTCTGAACTCTGGGAAAGCAGATGCAGTTTCTGGGTATTTGTTCTACATCTGTCTTCTGTACTCTGTTTAATAAAGTCGAATGCGAATCGTAATCTAATTTTCTTGCGCTTTTCTTTCCTCTTTTTAGAACAATTTGTGGTACACCAAATTACCTCTCGCCTGAAGTGCTTAACAAACAAGGACACGGCTGTGAATCTGACATCTGGGCTCTGGGATGTGTCATGTAAGTATGCCTGTTGGCTTTCTCGGTGATACATTGCTAATCATAACTATAGGCTGTCAATTGCTCCCAACGTCGGAGCTTGTTAAATGTTTGACAGCTCAGAGAAGGCAACAATGCGGAGGCATGCAGATTAACTCTTTATAGCTTGGATCTGGATTGCATTCCTGGTCTGTGTATTTAACGTACCGGACTGTAGTATGCCTGGTTTAGAAGAATAATTTAAGAGGTATAATGGAGAATAGTTACCTAGTAATAGGATGGATACTATGACTGTGCAGTAGACCTCTTTCTTTAATGTGCAGGTGCATTTTTTAACAAATCCTCTTTTTAATAGGTATACAATGATGCTTGGAAGACCTCCGTTTGAAACCACGAATCTTAAAGAAACCTATAGATGTATCCGAGAAGCTAAATACTCCTTGCCGTCTTCTCTAATGTCCTCTGCAAAGCATCTTATCGCCAGTATGCTGTCCAGAAACCCAGAAGACAGACCCAGCCTAGATGAAATCATTCAGCACGACTTCTTCACACAGGTTAGACACGTTCTATCTCTGAAGGTATCTGTCTGTGACCTCTGCCCTGAGCTTCATTTCAGACTTACAATTCTTCTTTTTTTTACATTAGGGCTTCACACCAGACAGGCTTCCATCAAGCTGCTGTCACACTGCACCAGACTTCCACTTGTCCAGTCCAGCAAAAAGCTTCTTCAAAAAGGCTGCTGCAGCCCTGTTTGGTGGCAAGAAAGAAAAGGCCAAATACCTAGATAACCATAGTAAGTAGACTTCTAGAGTGGGATCTTTTGGATGTTTGCTCTTCTGCTTCCTGTCCTTGTTTACTGATCATGCCTGATTTCCCAACAGATAAACCTGCAAAGGAAGATGAAGATATCTACAAGCTGAGGCAGGACTTAAAGAAAACAGCCATATCTCATCAGACTCGGAATCCCAGAACGGATGAGGTTGGTTGAATTTGAGATTGCCTGAAAGCCTTTAGTGTACAGAAATAGAAGCGCTTTATATTTTTAGAAGCCTTTTGGCATTCTCCTAATGGTGTGGCTCTTGTCTTTTTTGTTCTTGTAGGAGAGTAAAACGGTATCCAAGTCCAACATCCATGACAGGCCTGATAAGCAGCAGATGGGAGACACGATACGACTTATTGTTCGAGGGACCCTGGGTAGCTGCAGCAGCAGTAGTGAGTGTAAGTATAGCAATATCTGTATATTCACAATCCTAGGCCTCAGTGATTTACTGTGGGGAAAGATCAGCATGCACAATTAAGCTCCCAGCTGCTTTGGCACTGTCACTAGTCAGAATATTGACAGAACAATTATAGCATTGTGCTGAATGCCCAGAGTAAACCAGAAAACAGAGATAATTGCAAACTGCTCAGAACTCAAGCGCTGCTAGTCTAGATTTCTAAAGTTGCGCCAAGAGGTTTAGGCTGTGATATTTGCATATAAATGGTAGTAATATGTCTGTTCCTTACCTTTCAGGCCTGGAAGACAGCACAATGGGCAGCGTGGCAGACACAGTTGCAAGAGTCCTCAGGGGCTGCCTAGAAAATATGCCGGATTCAGATTGTATCCCAAAAGAAAACATAAGCGCCTCATTCCACTGGGTAACAAAGTGGGTGGACTACTCCAATAAGTATGGCTTCGGTTACCAGCTGTCAGACCACACGGTTGGCGTGTTGTTCAATAATGGAGCGCACATGAGCCTACTGCCTGACAAAAAGTAAGAATTGAACATTGCCTCTAAGAACTGGACTGCTCTTGTAATGTTCCTGTGCCTTGTTATTGTATCAGCCAGTCTCTTACAGTTGTGTTATTTACTTTGCAGGACTGTGCACTACTATGCTGAGCTTGGGCAGTGTTCAATCTTTGCAGCTACAGAAGCCCCGGAGCAGTTCATCAGCCAAGTCACGGTGTTAAAATACTTCTCTCACTACATGGAAGAGAATCTCATGGATGTAAGTGTTCACATTTGTGATTTATGTGAAAGTAGTGATTTAATACATGCAATGTTATCCTTCTCGTGTAAGCATTCGTGGCTGTGTCCTGCCAGGAGGGGCACATTCATGGCTGTGTCCTGCCCGGAGGGGCACATTCATGGCTGTGTCCTGCCCGGAGGAGCACATTCATGGCTGTGTCCTGCCGGAGAGGCACATTCATGGCTGATTCCTGCCAGGAGGGGCACATTCATGGCTGTGTCCTGCCAGGAGGGGCACATTCATGGCTGTGTCCTGCCAGGAGGGGCACATTCATGGCTGTGTCCTGTCAGGAGGGGCACATTCATGGCTGTGTCCTGCCAGGAGGCGCACATTCATGGCTGTGTCCTGCCAGGAGGCGCACCAGTACTAAACATTACTGACCCAGAACAAGTATTCAGATCAGGTGGTCTTGCACCTATGGTTTCATGCTTGTTCTGGGTCTGTGACTCACAGTATTGAAGTTTGAGACCGTTATCTAGCATCTCCTGAAGGTCTGCAATGTCAGGAAAAGGTGTATATTAAATAAGTGAATGTTACAATGACACCAAGTGTTAATATTTGAATTGTTTTCCCTTCATAAGGGAGGTGACCTGCCCAGCGTAACAGATGTATGTAGACCCCGATTGTACCTGCTGCAGTGGTTGAAGTCTGACAAGGCCCTTATGATGCTCTTCAATGATGGCACTTTTCAGGTATTTATTTATTTTTTTCTACAGGTTTTCACACTATTGTTTGCCATGCTTTCTGACTCCTGTAAAACATTTTTTGGCACGCTTTGATTACAATGTGTCCTTTTTTTTTTTTTTTTTAACAGGTAAATTTCTACCATGATCACACAAAGATTATAATTGCTAACCAAAATGATGAATACCTGCTGACTTATATCAATGAAGACAGGATGTCTACAACTTTCAGTCTGAGCACGCTATTAATGTCAGGTGGCTCTAATGACTTGAGAAACCGAATGGAATATGCATTGAACATGCTGTTGCAGAGGTGTAATTAAGGTGAAAGAAGGTTGTTGGAAACGTTGAGGATAAAGTCCTTCACTGTGAGAACAAGTGCTGGAACCTAGCACGTTTGGAAAGAGGAGGTGGTACGAAAAACAAACTTCCTACGTAGCATGCTGGGCTGGAACCAGACTGTACATATATTCATCCTGCTTTGTTGGATCCTATTTGGTTTGCCTGGATGGATGCTTTTGTGGAAAGAACCACAATGGCTCGAGGAGAAAGCTTCCGACAAGTGGGGTGACAAAGTTTTGCTCCGTAGAGAGCACTCGGTGGACACGGAATTTAATTGTGAACATACTTATGATTCCGGGATTGATATGTTGGCTCGAATGGACAATTGGAATGTTAAGTTGTGGAATCGCTGTGATCAATGCAGCTTACTGCTGCCAAACTGTGAACTATGGCCATATATATTTTAATACCCACGTTTTGTGGCTGGACAAGTGCATTCCTAGTTACTAACATAATTTATTACAGCCCAAAAGTGAAGTATTTATGATTTTTTTTTTAATTTTATTTGGATTTAACTATTTTAAGTATACATTGTATACGTTGTTGGCAATAAAGAAATATGAAAAAACCCATGAGTTCTGTGCTTATAAGAGTCTGCAAAGCAGTTCTTGGCTGTTCCTAGCATGTGACATAGGAGTTTCATCACACTTATTCAGAAGGAGCTAATGTGCATATTCTTACACTTCAGGGGGAGGTGGAAACTTTGCAGTTCAGGAGAAGGGGAGGCGGAGACTATGCAGTTCCAGAGAAATACAGGTGGAAAAAGGTGTGGTTCAAGAGAAGGAGGCCGAAACCATGTAGTTAGGAGAGGGGAAGGAGGCAGAAGCTGTGGGGGTTGTGGAAGCCGGTGGGGTGCAAGAGAATGGCAGGTACACTGGCAGGGTGTAGGAGAAAAGGAGGCAGAAGCTGGTGGGGTGCAGGAGAAAAGGAGGCAGAAGCTGGTGGGGTGCAGGAGAAAAGGAGGCAGAAGCTGGTGGGCTACAGGAGAAAAGGAGGCAGAAGCTGGTGGGCTGCAGGAGCAAAGTAGGTGGAAGCTGGTGGGGTGCAGGAGAAAAGGAGGTGGAAGCTGGTGGGGTGCAGGAGAAAAGGAGGTGGAAGCTGGTGGGGTGCAGGAGAAAAGGAGGTAGAAGCTGGTGGGCTGCAAGAGAAAAGGAGGTGGAAGCTAGTGGGCTGCAAGAGAAAAGGAGGTGGAAGCTAGTGGGCTGCAAGAGAAAAGGAGATGGAAGCTGGTGGGCTGCAAGAGAAAAGGAGATGGAAGATGGTGGGCTGCAAGAGAAAAGGAGGTGGAAGCTGGTGGGCTGCAAGAGAAAAGGAGATGGAAGCTGGTGGGCTGCAAGAGAAAAGGAGATGGAAGCTGGTGGGGTGCAGGAGAAAAGGACTAGGAAGCTGGTGGACTGCAAGAGAAAAGGAGGTGGAAACTGTGCAGTTAAAAGGGATAAACATTGTTGGGAAGACCTGTCTGGTTAAACTGAAGCCTCAATCTTCAATGATTGACATGAGAAAAAGTAAAACTAGAATTGTCTTTTAAAAGCTCATGGGTGGAATTAAACTACATTCCTAAGGTTTGACAATACAATGGTAATGAAATACTCGGCAATGTCAGATATTTGCTTCTTCCGGTAGCCACCAGTGTTGGTATAAACTGGTTGTATATGGAGGAAAAGGTTATGTTACATATTTTTAATATGATCACTATTTTTGCCATAGGAAATGAAAGAACTACAAACATTCACACTGACTGGGATGACTGTAGGAGTTTGGCTTAAAGTGCATTTCTTTATCTTGGGAGTTGCAGTGTTTACTTCCTGTAACTTCAGTGATGCTGGAATGTAACATAACCTGTAAATTTAATTTCATTAACCTGCTGCAAATTCAGGCCTGGATTACTTGGATGTAGGCTTACTGATAATTGTATCGGTATATCTTGCCTTATTTTAAAAAATGTGTTCCCTTTTGTCACTAACCTGGAACAAGTATGGGAATAAGAAGCCCTGGCTTTTACATTGATGTCTACAGGTTGTATACCTTTTCTAGGTTGGCAATTTAAAATATAATTGCCAGATAATTGGCATTAGAGGAGCAGTGGCAGCCTGCAAGTTTCTCTTAATAAAGGTTTAATTACCAAATTAGTAAAATACCTTTGTTCACTTAAGTGTATCTGAATTTTATCGCATAAAATGGGATCGATCCTTGAAGACTAAGTCTTTATATTTGAAGAAGCAAATCTTGAGCTTTCCCCTTAAATCAGGTGAAGTTGGTGTCTATGGCCGAGCTGGATAACCTTCTACTGATAAAACTCTTTGTACAGGATTTTGTAGGATACTAGTTAGGGCTCATTCTTGCTATGCAGGATTTATATAGCACCAACAGTTTACACAGCACTTTACCAATATAAGGAAGATATTAGTTACAGTTCAAGACAAGATGGTTAGAGCTTGCATGCATGCAAATAGTTAAATGGGCATACAGTATAAAAGATGGCTTTATTTGTGGTGCCCAGCTCCTGCGTTTGTCTATAGCATTGTATGAACACAATATGCTGCACATGGGTATATACTGGTGTTTACACATGAATGGGCGTAAGTTTCCAAATGCAAATCTTGACATCTGGGAACTTGTACCTGGGTGTGTAAACGCCAAGAAGTTACAAATACAAATATGATGGGAACCAGTTTGGGTTTGCATGAGGAACCCCAGTGCAGCCAGGCCACTAATCTCACCACTTTGTTGTATGCATGTCGAGTATAGACGTATGTTTTAATTGTCTAGATGTACTTAAACAATGACAGCCAGTCTAGATCTGTATTCAAGTGATATCACCGTTTTAAGAAAATTGCACATCTTTGAGCTTTTTACCAGTACAATGAAAATGTCAAACCAAAACTGATTGATTAGGTGAAGAATGAGCAGAAATCCATCAGTGTCTTCATTCTATCTCCTTTTGTTGCCATAGTAGTCCTTAGACCACATTTATTGGTCCTGTTTAGTCCCCTCTTAATACATGACAAGTGTCTGTTGATCAGACTCTGATCCCTCAATGAACCAATCAGAAACTGTACTTCAAGTATGAAAAGAATGTCAACAGGTAAAATCTGTCTATAGAGAGAATCTAAGTTGACAATGTGCATAGAAGAAAAACGAAGAATATATTTATTTATTCTTTGCAGAACTCAGTGGTTCACCTATTTAAATTGATCCCTAGCTGTTCTCCAGTTAATAAATGTTTTCATTGCCTATGTAATTCTGCAACTAATTGTCTCAGAAAATGTCTTAAGGCCCCTTTGTTTGGGATGAAGTTTTCATGGGTTATATTATAAAGTGAACCCGTGGCCAAGCTATGGGCATTCAACTTTATTCATATAAACGTAGTTCTTATTAACCCTGGCAGTGGTGCTACCCCCCCCCCCTTGCACTGTAAGGGTTAAGTACTCCTTTGTGTCTAGGTTAAAAAAAAGTTAGTCACCCGAAGCTCCGAGCGGGCTTCTTCTTAGACCTGTCCTTCCAACATCTCTCCCCCTTCTGTGCAGTGGTCTAAGGTCCAGTGTATAGATGTGAGGACACTGAGGAACGTTCCAATGTGCTGCAGAGGAGGATACAGGCGGGAGGGAACACTGACAGCTGGCCAGCTCAGAGCTTCGGGTGAGTATATCTTTGTAGTGCAGGGGTAGCTTGAAGTTCTTGTTTAAATTGTTGGCAAAACACAGTTGTCACGGCTCCAACTCTCTCAGCTTGGCTTCCCTGGACTTCCTGCTGAGTAGAGACACACAAGGGACAAAGCATTCTCCAGCAGCTGTTCATCTACTAGCTTGCAGGACGAAGGAGCAGGGGGGTAGATTGCGTTGATGTGCCTGGTATTTTTAGACCCTAGATAAAAATGAGCACTTTACCCTTGCAGTAAAGATAGCCCCACTGCAAGGGTTAAGTTTTATTCTGCCCGGAGTTCTTTAAATAATTGCATAGTGACTTAGTTATCATGACTCCAACTCTCTTAGCTCAGCTTCCTTGAACTTCCCGTTGTGTACAGCTTACTATCACACAGAAGGGTGGCTCCATAGAACTCAGCCAAAGAAAGGAGCCACGCTAAAAATATGATATCAGGGCCAGTGCTCAGGAAAACAGCTTTTAAACATCAAGCAGCAGTATCCATTGTGTGTGATTAAATCAGCATCTGAAATAGCTTAACAACCTTTTGACTTTAATATCACTTTAACAAGTTGTAAAGCCCTCACTGAGCTCAGTAGCTATAAACACCGTGGAACAATTGAACCTCAAAGTTACCTTCTCAGTGACTCAGCCCAGCCCACGGTTTCATTTGAGTTTGACATGCATGCTTTAAGAGATGGCTCACTGCAGAACACGTGCTCACATGCTTTGCAGACGAAGTACATTTTCATTTGACTTGTGTGGTAAGGCGCTGCTGTTTTAGGATAATGTCAAATATTCAACAATAAAAAGTCAGAAAGTCTTTATAAATAGGGAAGGTTTTCTGCCGAATACGGTATAATTTGCTTGGTAATGTTCTCCCTGAGGTATGGTGAACAAGATTAGGGGAAATGGCCAGTGGACCTTTATAAATAGACCAGCCTGTCCTGTGAACAAAGGCAGAAGAGCACATCTGACCTTTTTAAATGGGCTCCAAAAGTCTTTCTCCTTTCACAAAGCGTTCTCTGAACATTGCAGTGCTGGAAATTCAACTCCTGTGTCCTCCCAATCAATACACATAACCAGAAAGGAAATGTGCCCGTGTTAATCGAGTAACCTTCACAGGAATGCATTAGGCGATCCATAAATGATGACTCTCCTAAAATAGACGGCCGGGGAAAAGGGTGAATATTCCAGCTCCTATCATGAAAGGATAGTGGAATGTTTAACGATATTTCAGAGCCCATTCATGTGCATACCTTGTGCTGATGAGATGTGCAATGCCACCCATTGATGTCTGAAATTATAGTGTTGTAGAGTTGACACCGCACTAGTGTATATACCGTCTATTATGGCCGTCCATCAGCCACCCTCATTCTTTGTTTTTCTCTCTAGATGTCCTACTAAAAACTTTAAAGTGGACCTTTCATTAACTTTATATATTTGAATAAATACATTACTGACGTCACAATATACAGCACACTGTTTAGCATTAACAATTTAAGAATTACGCATTTTTTCTCATTCAGTCTGCGACAATAAAAAAAACAATAGTTATATAGTAAGCATTTGGTGTTTTTTTTCTATTTAAAGTGTATTTTCACTCTTGCAGTCAAATTTGAGAACCCCTCACCATATGTTTGTGTTCCCATTCACACACCATACATAAAAAGATTTTTTTTTAAAAAAAGCTTCCTGCTTCATTGATCACAGAGCAGATCAGGGAACAGATGCCCCCGCTTCCCATCCTGACACCTTGTTCCATGGTCCCGGGCCCAGCAGGGGAGTAGTAGAGCCTGGAAACCTTGGGGGAGGGGGAGGGGGCGGGGGGTACTGGGAGGCACCATTTTAAGCTGGTACAAGTGAACCGGCGGCACTACAGCCACCCAGATCATTTGTTCCCTAAAGTCCACCACCCTCCAA